TCGGATATTCGAAATTTAACGTTCTTTGACTAATTTCATTTTTTAGTTTTCGTACATTTTTACACTGAGAAAATTCCGAGTAGTGAAGAAAACTTTTTATTTATCAAATTACTTTTAAATACGATGAAAATAAAATTAATAATAGCTGGGAATTAATAATAACTGGGAATGGGACTGGAAATATTTTCCTTAAGTATGAAAATTAAAAACTGGCTGATGCGATGAAACAGCGGAAGAGTTGTCAGATATATAACTGATTTATATGAGGCAGAGAAAAACTAAAAATTACATTTCATTCTTCAGTTCCAATACCTTATTCCTCAGTACTGAAGCTACTTTTGCTACATGTAGTAACCGTCTAGGCCCACCAGCGGCCGAGCGGTAAAGTTCCTGAACACTGGTAGTTCGATTCGAGGTTCGAATCTCGCGAACGGAGGGGCTGCATGAGCGTTTACGTGTTTTCCCCATGTGTAAATACGAGACATTTTCCATTAGGAAGTCCTCCAAGAAAGCATTCCTTTCCTCTGTGTAGTGCCTTAGAGCGGAAGACGTAAATAGTAATAATAACCATCTACTAATAAGCATTTTTTTTCATTGAATGGTTGTTTTTCTTCTTTTTATTTTCATTGTTTTTCTTATCGTGTTACTTATCTTCCAAGAAAAAAGAAGCAAACATGAAAAGAGAGTAACATCTAGTAAATATGGTAATAATACACACACATTTTTTATAAAAAGTTAAATATTTTCTTTCCGTAAGTAAAGTCCTTATAGCGATGCAAAAATTTCTAACTGGGCTGTAACAAAAATAATCTCCAAACTGCTCTAAAATATTCTTTTATGAATTTTTGTCTTTCTCTTCTTTTAAGTTACTTCAACCATTATCGACTTAACCGAGAATACTAATAAAATCGTAATTAAAATTATTGATAGATATTTATTCAAGCTTAAAACAGTTTAATCTTTCACGTCCAGTCTAACAGACCAACACAAAATAGGTCCTATTAATTTCTGATTGAAGATTAGAGGATTATTATTATTATTAAGACTGGGATTGTGGCGACGGCTGCCGTCAAGGTGAGGGATACTTTTGCATGGCTTTCCGACGGAAACTGGCTGGTATCCATGTTACGAATGGGAAAACCATGAAAACTCCCATGCATAAAACCCATTCGCCGGGATCTAAACCCATTTCAGATTATCAATGTTCAGCGACGAACCATTTATTTTCAGTTTCTTCGAATATTTTTCAGTTTCTTCAAAGTAGCTGCCAATTGAATTTGTAAACGAAAGACTATTGTCGTTCATCAAGGATGAAAAAAGATGAAAATAGTTTCTTATAAAAATTTATCATTTTCGCAGTTACAAGAGCTGTTTGTCGAAAGCAAAATATCCTACAACACTTTAAGTGAAGCTTCATTCAATTTTATAGACGTTTTATAACACTGTCAAAATTATTCTGAAACTGGTATTCAGCTTTAGAAAAGAATAATAAAAAGAAAGAGACATATAGCTATAAGATACAATGTGTTACAATACAATATGTTGCTGCGGAATTTTATGATTAGCATTAGTTTTTTTTTTTTTTTTTTTTTTTTTTTTTTTTTTTTTTATCCCTTTAATGCTGTCAATAATGAAAATGTATGAGAGTATAGAAATCAGTCCTAAAATGAAGGTACATTCTTTTACGACTTAAATGAATTCTTCCATTAATTATACGTAGATGAATCCAAAATAAAAAAGGGGGTTGCAAGCATCAACATTTGAAAAGTAATTATTGTGGAGGCAATACCTTTTCTTTCAGAGTATATACAGATGGCACTAGTTCTTTAGCAGTGGTTATGGGGGTAGGTAGAGTAAGTTCAGAGACATGTCAGAGCGATTGAAATGGCAAGGCATTTAGAAAAGGGTCTCGCTTGGAGATGCTGACCATGATTCGCTATCCTGATCGAGTATCTAGAGCGTGGCCATACGATTATTGCCGATCGTTACTGTGCCGTGTAGACAAGGTTAGGTGAAGCCATCCGACTCAAGTGCCCTAGCATGTTGAGTGATGGTGTCATCCTCCTGCAAGACAACGCCTGTCACCATACTACCTTGCCAATCTCAGGAACTGCTGGAAAAGTGTTAGTGGAAGGTCTGATGTCACCACCTATATAGCCCAGATTTAGCACGCAATGGCTATTTCCTTTTCCCGAAACTGAAGGAACCTTTATGTGGAATGAGGTCCTCTTCAGACTGTGATGTAGAAACAGCTACTGAGAATTGGTTCAATGGACAGAGACGTGTTTTCTATTAAGCTGGTTTAAACAAGTTGGTCCTGCTTAGATAAATGCCTAAATGTATTGGGTGATTATGTGGGAAAATGATAGGGAAGTATGCCTCTGAATTTCTTTTCGTATTTTATGTCTGTTAGTAAATAATATTTTATTACCTTATAACCCATTTTTCGGGTAATGTAAAAGTATTATTGGAAGATTTTTGAAAATACCGATTAATTTTAAAGATATCTTTTTTTATTACAGTGATTAAACCCTTAAACTTCAATGGTACAGAAAATAAAGATCTTAATGCTGTATAGATTAAGAAAAGCTACACTAAAATTCCTCGGATTTAAAATAATCAAATTGTTCCTCGGAGCAAAATTTAAAATAACATCCGATAGACAGGCTTTTATATTAAAAAGGATAAAGGTAAATATTTTCCTGAAAGCTGTGTCTTGCATGTATTAAAAATCTAATTTAATCAAATAATTATGCTTAGCTCAAAGATCATAATTATTCGTATCGAAACCAATTCCAGTGCACAATGCGTGTTCCATTTACCTTGCTAAAAATATAAAGGCCTTTGAAAGGAACTGACAGAGATTAACCACTCTAAGAACAAAAACATGCATCACGAGACAAGAAGAAAAATAATAAACAACAATTGCTTGAACACCAAACAACATCAAAATTTGCAGAACCATAAGCCCTTGAAAATACCTTCAGTGTGTTCCCGTTTTAAAATTTTAAAACAGCAGGATATCGTTTGATTTACAGCTTTAGATAATTGACTTTGACCTCCCCCTTTTGCTAAAACAATTCGAAAAATGTGACGCGTTATCCTTTTTTATTGGAAATTTTTAAGATAATTTCATAGGGTGTAAAGGAAAAAATTTACTGTTAAAAACTGCTGCATTAGTTATGTGAAAATATTACATCATATTTTAAATACTTTGTTGATTTATGGATAATGAGATTTCGGTAAGAAATTAAGTCTGAAAGTAATAAATTACTACTATTCGCAAACGATATCCTTATTGAAGCAATAAATTAATCTTAATGATCGCTTTTTTTTTTTTTTTTTAGGGATTTCTTATCTGTTCAAGGACTCTCGAAGCTAAATGAAAAGGAAGTAGTAAAACTCTCAGAAATCCAATTGTATATTAACTTAAAAACATAATTTAATTCAATCAATCCATCAGGGAAAAGTATCCCCCTCCCTATTCACATTTAAAAATTTTTAAATATCTTTTTTCAACCGAAACTTCAGAATTGCAGTCAAGTCTCGTTACAGGTGTGCTACTTTTAATTTAAAAATTGAAAAACTTGATTGGACAACTAAAACCGAATATTGATTTTTAATTTAATTGCATTTTTAAAATTTAACTTAATGGTATACAACTTGAAGATTGTCTGTACCTACAGATAACATTTATACAGGGCGTTTCAAAATGGTTACACCATTAAATATTGCTAGGGGGGTTGATTATCAATCATGAATTCAGTTTAACAAATGGATCAGATTTAGTTCGCTTCCAAAATAAGACCGTTGTGGTTACGTGACACACTTTAGTAAGAAATGAAATTATACAGTGCGCTCGTAAAATCATGGTGCTCTTTTGGCCGGTCACAGAAAAGCAACGAAACAAGATTTTTTTCGTAGTATGATGTGCAAGGTTGTGCGCACACAGGTGATGACGCAACCAAAGTACGCAAGCAGTAGATCAGCTATTCAACTTTTACTTGCGGGTTATATGAAGCAAAATGTGTACAGTGAAAGTATCAACGACATTAATCATTTAAAATAGAGAATCACAGACGTCAATCATTCTGTTACAACAGACGTTCTTAACCGTGTGAGGGAAGAACTTGAATATCGTTCAGATGTGTATAGAGCAACAAATAGAAGCCACATCCAACTAAACCGAACAAGTATGAAACGTGGAGAGTTTACCTTTTATTTGGTGAAGATTTCACATTTCTATCTTGTTTCGTTGATTTCCATTGACAGGTCAAAATTGCACCAAGACTTTACGAACACATTGTATTATATTAGCTTTCTTAAAAGGAAGCTCCGGCTAGTATATTACTTCTCGTATTGAAGAAGTTATATATATATATATATAACTGTTTTATTGTACTGAAAAACTAGAAAACGAAAAACTGTTCACCTTACATGTCAAGATTATATATCAAAATTATACTTCGTTGTTTCTCTGTTTGGGTAGACTTTACGTTAGATCAAAACTGTAAAATTTTGTGAAAGATAAAAATTTTAAAGTTTTAGCATTGCGAAGTTCTTAGTAATTTGAAATCTCTACTTAGATACTTATTTTTGATTGACGTAGAAATCGTTAAAATTATCTTGATCGTATGTGGATGGACTTTTGTTTTGAATAAACTATTTACGACAACTCTCTCCTTCTCTAAAAATCTTTGGCATCCTCTCTTAAGGGGCTCATGTAAACATTCAGATTGGTATATTTTTACTAAAAGGTGCATCATCACTCAAAACTATGATAGTCTAAAATTATAGTACTTGCTTGATTTAACTGGAACTGTGAATGTACAATATTACGTTAACAAGACTTGACTGTATACTGAAAGTGAATTTATACACGCAATAATTAAAAATTTTTTTACCGGAGTTGATTTTTAATAATTAACGTCGAAAATTATTGCATGTTAAAAAAAAATTTAGATTTTTGAAAGTTCTACATCTTTATTCTGAGGGCATACCTTTTTCAAGGGCCTCGATCTGCTCATTGGCAAACGAGGTTCGATTTCGTTGCAGCTTACGTTTCAGGCGCATGCGCATTTGACTGTCTTCATCAGCTGAAGAGTTGTTTTCTGAATTCCCGTCAGATGTTGCTTCATTACTACCTGCAAAATATAAAATCGAAATTTCACAAAAATGCTAAATTTATTAGAAACTATTACATTATACAAATTATCCTGTTCATAAACAAAATTAGAATATTTGCAACAAAAATGAAAAATTGAAAAACTTGATTGGACAACTAAAACCGAATATTATTCATCAGTATTCCGTTTGAAATCGATTAGCGAATATTTGATTTCGTGGAATGCAATTTTGCATTAAGAAATCAAAACATTCCTTTTTTCTCTTAAGAGTTAATTAAAATACGACTTAAAAAACGTTTTCTGAAACTAATTCTATTTAAAATATGCACAAAAAAAAAAAAATATATATATATATATATATATATATATAATATATTACTCCCAAATGGGCGTTTTTTTTTTACATTTTGTGTGTTAGCTTTATTTATTAAATATCATATTAAATATCATATTCTTCGCACTTAAACCATAAAATTCAATCCAACAGCAATATCCCAAAATATTTAAAAGAGCATATCTTTAGAATTTCCGATACACAGTCTCGCGCGCTGGAGTTAAAAATGCTTTTTTATCCGTACAGTGTTGCCCTTGGTCGCTTTGAAATCTCTGAATTTCTTAATCAAAAATCATAAATGCTTTACAAACTATGAAATAGATAATTCCAAATCTTGGCTTCCAGATGTCCATATTCGGGTGGAGACGTACGTTATCCAAAATTTGATGGCTCTAGATACCGTTGTTTTACTACAATGCGAGAAACATACATACATTTATGCAGATTCTTCATTATTTAATTTCTTTAAATATAGTACGGGGGGATAGTATTTGGTGGCAACAATTTCAAAAGTGATTTGCCGTTTATAGTGAATCGACGCAAAATGCCAAAATGAAATTACTAACCCTAATAAATAAATGAGAAAATATAGTTATATGTGTACACACTATTAGGACTTACATTTCATTGCTTATGCTATGCTTTGAAGGCAAAAATACGATTTTTTATCTAGCACCATTCGCTAAAGTAGTATTTTTATTACATTATTATTTCTTCAATAATAGTCTAAAATATCAGATTTTTTCTTTTATGTTTATGAGAGGAAAAAATTTACACTGTAAATGCATAATGTATTTTACAGCTGTTTTATTTAAAACTAGCAACTACGCGGCCAGCCTTCGTCTGGCTTTGAAATGTACCGGAAAAATGCCTGGAGGGAACACCAAACGTTAAATCTAAAAACTGCTCAGAATTTTACTCTGCAGAACAACTTCATAAAAAAAAAAAAAAAAAAAAGAAAAAAAAAAAAAAAAAAAGGGGGAAAAAAAAAAAAAGAAACCCACAATTTTTTTAAAAAATTTATCACATATCACAAAATTACAATACAAAATAAGCAATATCCCTTAATACAAATATTAATTATCCTAATAAATAAATTAATCGACTTCCCGTTCCCTTCTCTCTTCAAGCGTCCAGTATCCAAGACAAACATTAAATTTAAAAACTGCCCAGAATTATAGCCCTCATTTTGATAAGTGCCACCAGGGCTGATTTTCAAGTCAGCATTCTAGTATACAGTTGAATGAAAAACTGTTGCCAAAACCACATTTCTAAAAGAATGAAACTATTCAAAATGATGCGATAAAATTGAAAAGATAAATTTTAAAAAAATCTGATTCAAAGTTTTAAAAAATCGCTTCGAGGTGCACTGGCTTTTGTTTAGATGCACCTACATACCAAACTTACGATTTGGTACTGGGTCTATTAGCTTACGCCCAGCACGAACGAAAGGCACACAGGCTCTTTCTTTTATTATATGTGGAGATTAGTAATTTATAAACTAAATTACTAATATTAAATACTTAACTAATTTGTATATTCATTATACGAATATTACATGAATACTGTATTATGTATAGGGTTCAACAGATCTTGAAACAGATCCGCCAGCGCGGATATAACAGGCGCTACTGTAACCGGGGAAGAAAAATGGAAAAAAGAAAAGTCCAAACTCTGAAACCTTTAAGCCTAATCTGTTCCTGCCATTCTGACGTAAAAATATTAGATTTTTCAATACTTAAAAATAACTTTAGTTTTAATTGATAATATTGTATAACTTTATTTAGTTTGTTTTTCCACCTTTCATGTCCAATTTAACACAAATGGTGAAAGACAGCAATATGATGGCTGGCACAAGAAAATAGCTTCAGTTTATAACAGTTGTAATATAAATCTATCAAATCCGTTCTGATGTTTCATCTTAATTTTAAATCACTGCCACTTTTTCGTCACAAATCTCTTACAAATCGCTATCATTTTTTCACTTGCATTCAACGCGGATTTTATACATAATGCACATTATTTCTACATAGTGTAATGAGAACAAAAGAAAACTCGTTTGACTTAAAAGGTTTTTTTTTTTTTTTTTTTAAATAAAGAATAAGTTATATTTGCCTGGCTGAACATCTTTGCTTTGGAATTTTTTATATTCTTAAAAGGACACACACAACAGAAAAATATCCTTCCTGCAAAAGATGAACATGTTACCTCCCTAATTATATCTCCGAAAGCTTGTCTCATATTCCCGGATGTATTCTGTTCTAAAGAATGCGGGGAAAAGATCACTCAAAAGTAAGTGCCGAGACATGGACATTTTGTTCATAACTCCTTCTTTTTCTTTGTCTAGAAAGGTTGAAAAGAGTGATGTGGTCAGGGCAGTCAAGACGCTGTTTAAAAATGGAAAGGAATACGATGATTACCGTGGCTCTTTTCAGGGTGTAGATGATGACAAAAACAATTTTTTTTTTAGTTGTTTGGAACGAATTATTTGTCATCAAACACAAACTGTGAAGCAGAAGACTAGCTTTTGAGCGACGTTTTATTTGTTCTAGGAGGAATTCGAAGAAAAGCCAGAATGTGTTTTCGTATATTAAGGCATTTCAGAATTCTTGTTTTTCAATATACTAATTTTCTCGTCCAGTTTTAGAATCAGATTATTTCTGCATTGGATTGAATTGGATTATTCATTTAAGATAAAGCTTATGAAGGCTCATGCCCTTTTTAGTCTTTAGAGAAGGTTACCTCTGGTATTTCTCTTTTGAATGCTATCATTCAGTGTGGAAAAGAGTATACATGCCTGTAACAAATAATTGCTGAAGTAATAAAATCGCCAAAAATATTTTGCGGGAAAGTGTACAAAGTTTTTACAAAGTTAAATGTAATAGCTATTGTCCTTGATAGTTTTAAAATCAATATTTAATAACATGATAAATAAAAAGTAGGAAAAATTAATAAGCCAAGTGGAAATATACTAAATTAAAAGAAACAACACGAAACATATAAAAAATTTTAGATAAATTCATTTAAAATGTTTCTCGGCAAAATTTATTACTGATTAAAAGATAAAAAAAAAAAAAAAAAAAAAAAAAAAAAAAAAAAAAAAAAAAACCCTCTGCAAATTTAGCTGCAATTTGCGAAATTCTTTTGTCAGGTTTCCTGTGAGCCCACATATATTCAGCATTTAATAAAAATTAATAATTTGAATCTTATTTTTCAGATTTTCCTCATCCGTCTAACTTTCCTTAATCTTCTCGTGTTTTTTTCACTGTCACATATGACAGTTCCAGAATCTGCTTTATCAAAATGAATATTATTGTTCGTCATTAAAAGAATAGCCGACCCACTTTAAACTTTCAGCTGCAAGACTAATTAGTGGATGAAGGTAACCCAGCAAATAGTCAAAGCTGACAGCAAAAACACACTAATTAAAAAAACTGCTTTAAAATAATTGAAATTTGAGATGATAATGAAAGGAGAAGGAATTCGAAATAATGTTTCTGAGTGTGCTTTCTTTAGCTCGCAATCTTATATGCTTGAAATGTACCAGTCATAACTGTAATCTCAGGCAGCTTTTTGATGTGCAGCCAAAATGGCCTATCAGAAAAGTAGTGATCCTAAGGTCTTTATTAACTACAGAGGTATCAGTAAATTGCATAGCATTATTTTATCTCAAAAGTTAAGGATTATGAATCTGAAATATTTTCAATACAAAAAATATCAGGTTTTTACTTTCTTGCCATATTTACAATTTCCTAAAGGCTCTGGAAAACTTAAACATTCCGATCTAGTAACAAAATATTCACCTTTAATAGCTTATCTCTCTTCTCATCGAAATACATTTAATTAACTACGTTCGCAATTAATCAAAATATACATGAGCATTATCATCATCATCATCATCATCGATATTGCCGGCATATTGCTGTTTTTACTCAATGTTTCCGGCTCATGACACATAGGCCCAAAGGGCACATGACGGTAGAAAGGAATGACGATTGAAAGGCGTCGGTAGTACGAAGAGGGGGTGACAGCATGACTTCACGAGTCCAGTGAAACACACAGACGAAGCTCAGAACCAGGAGAGGCAAAGACAGGGTGAAAATCAGACTTGTTCTGTTGTTTATGATAGGTACATGTTATAATAAAGTTATACAAATAAGCTGAAACAATACAATTTATTAGAATAATAAAATACATGCAAATAAAATGAAAAGAGTATGAAATAAAATACGGCAAAAAAGTCTATATACATATATACAGCGACGTTGCACTCGTGATAGAGTTATGTAGGGAAGTTCGAATCTCGAGCGGTGAACATGAGCATTATTTATCTTTAAATGACTTACTGTTAGGTTTTGAAAAGATAAAGTGGTAGTTATTGAAATCTTTTTACGGACTAGCAATTTATTGAAAATTTTTACTATGCTGCGAACAAAGCTAACTCTGAGAATGCTATGTCAACTGAAGCTTTCTTATCTCTTACAACTCAACAGCGGAACGATAAAACAACTAGACACTGATACTTCGATTCCGGTTCAAATCTCAGAAACCTAAGAGTTTTCGTCATTTTCCTCAAGTGTTAAGTAAAAATAAGCCAATTTCCCATTAAGAAACCTCCTAGAATGCATCGCTTTCTGTAGGCTGATAGGCTCGAGTGCCTGGTCGTAATGTAAATATTCCTGGC